AAGGGGCGATCGCTGGGGGGTCGTGTTCATTTATCACGAGCTCCCCCAGTTGCAGTTCCTTGATTGTTTCCCTGATACCCTGGCCGAAGCTTTTCTTTCTAGGATCTCTTACATATCTTGTCTTTTGTAGACTGACAAAAGTAGGGGATCTTTCGCCCAGTTGCGAGATCTTGGCCCAATACCTTGTCGCTAGTTCTTTTCTTCTTAAGGATAGGGGCAGCTCCCCGGCTTCCTGTAGTAATACACAGAGCTTTGTATTGGATGGTGTCAAGCTTACTTAAGAGTTTTGGCACACAGTTCATGAAGGCCAAAGAGCCGTAGTCTAATACAGAGCGTATTAGAGCACGATACACCATCATTAATGTAACTCTATTGGCACCCCATGTGCTGCCCGTTATTTTCCTCATTAAGTTTAGGATTTTGGTGCATCTATCTACAGTCTCGTCGATGTGCGGTTTCCAGGTCAGCCTTCGGTCAAAGATTACGCCAAGGAACTTGGTTTGGTCTTTAAACTCGATGGTTTTCCCGTTCATACACAGAGTCATTCTGTTTATCCCTCTATCCCTGCTTACAAGCATGCCGACTGTTTTCTTCTCCGAGACTTTGAACCCCCAATCGTTTTCCCATGAATTTGTCTAAGGCCTTCTGCATGTTCTTTTGTAGTTCAGAGAAGTTCCTCCCTTTCCTCCATATGGTACTGTCATCAGCAAATTTAGCTAACTCAGCTTTGGCGTCGAGGTAGGAAGATTTCTGTATGTCGTTGATCATGATATTGAAGAGAGTGGGACTGATAACCGACCCCTGAGGCGTGCCATTTTCTAATGTTTGCTCGGCACTCAGGAATCTGCCTACATTCACCTGTATCCTTCTATCGCTCAGAAAGCTTTTGATCCACCGAAACATTATGCCAGTTATACCAATACGTTCTAACTTGAAGAGCAGCCCGTCTAGCCAGACTAAATCGAAAGCCTTAGTTAAATCTACGAACACGACACATAACAGGTTCCCAGAGAGGAGTGCCTACGACATGACTTGCTGTAGTCTCACCAAGTGGTCCGTTGTTGAACGCCCTTTCCTGAACCCGCTTTGATTTTCGTCGATCAGTCGGTTGCTCTCCAGATAGAACTGTAGTCGTATGTTAACCATTGTTTCCAAGGTTTTGCACAGTGTGGATGTCAAGCTTACTGGTCGATAGGACTCTGCCTTTGTTCTCTCTTTACCTGGTTTTGGAAGAGGGATGACGTTGGCTTTCCGCCATTCTTTGGGTACCTCTCCTGCCAGCCAGGATGTGTTGAAGAAGTTTAGTAGTATCCTTTTGGCATTTCTAGGCAGATGTTTGAGCATCGAGTACTTTACTTTGTCCTCACCAGCCGCACTATTCGTCTTGAGGGAAAGAGCCTTATTTAACTCCTCCTCAGAGAAGGGTAGATTGATTGGTTTAGCCCCTTCATTAGGTTTAATTTCTAATGAAGGGTGCTGTGAGTAAAAGATTTTCTTTCTCTTCAGGAACTCTGGTGATTGGTTTTCGTCCCTGCTTGCGTCAGCGAAAGCTTTTGCAAGTAGATCTGCCTTTTCAATGCCGTTGGTAACGTACTCATCTCCGTTCTTTAGGTTTGGTATGTTGAATGATCTGCGCTTCCCGTTCATGGCGTTCAGCTTCTTCCAGACGGCACCTGTTTGCGTGTTTTGATTCAACGCATTACAGAATGTCATCCAGTGTTCGCTTTGTGCCTTCCGGATGGTGTCTCTTGCGGCGTATTTCAACTTCAGGTAGTTTTGGTGATTGACTTCATTGTAGTGGCGTTTCCGTAGGCGTAGTGCCTTCTTTCTTTCGTTAACCGCCTTCTGACATTCTGGTGACCACCAAGGTTTTCTAATCCTTGATTGCCCTCCAGAAGTCTTGGGAATGGAGTCGTCTGCGGCTCCTATAATAGCACTCGTGATGTTGGCTGCGTACACGTCGATGTTGGCATCGATGATGTCTTCTTCTTTCCACCCAAGGCAGCCTACACGGAAGTTAGCCCAATCAGCCTCTTTTATTTTCCAATTGGGTTTCCCGTTATAGACTTCCCTGGTTGTTTCACATTGGATGCAGAGTTCTATCAGTAGATGGTCGCTACCAAGTGTTTCATCTTCGTGTACTTGCCAGTCGCAGCGGTTTGCCATACCAAGCGTACAGAGCGTGAGATCCAGGTGTGAAGGTGGGGCATTTCCTCCAACAAAAGTAGGGCTCTCGTCGTTCAGTACGCATAGGTCGTTCTCTTCTATTATTGAGCATAGGCTAATCCCCCGACAGTCATTCCTAGGTGACCCCCACAGGACGTGTTTTGCGTTGAAATCCCCGCAAAACACAAATTCGCCCTGAGGAAGCTGGTCGAGAAGTGACTATCTGTGGACGCATATATATACCTCTTGTAGAAAGTATGTAATATATACATAGACCAATATACATAGACCACTTATATAACGTGTATTAATGTGATATACATAGACCACTTATAGAACGTGTATTGGTGTAGTAATAGTACATGATAATATAAATATAAACAGTATAAATTTATAGAAAGATCCGTCAATATAATGTATGTCCGTCCGCAATCGCACTTATTTCATTTTGCACTTGTCATGAAACGTTTCTACGAAAGCCCAGAAGGTTCATTCCAAATTCCAAATGCGAAATTCCAAATTCATGTCTTACCAATCAAATGAATAAAATAGCAAATTGGCAGCCCCCTCAATTAAACAAATTAGAATTTAAATAAATTGTAAATTCACACAACTAATTAGTGTTAGTTTACCTATCGGATGTGGGGGTTGGATGGCCGAATGGTTAGCACGTGCGTGCTGTATCATACGACCTGTCATCGAGTCAACTGGCGTGGTTTCGAATCCACGTTGTACGTGACAAGGAGTAGGGTCGCCTGTCGATCCTCGTGGGTTTTCTCCCAGTCATTCTGTTTCCTCCCACTGCTAAAGACCCCTACGCGCAAGCGAATTATTGTAATAAAATTAAACCATATGTTAGTCCCGAAATGACCTAGTTTGTGTCGAGTGAACGTTTAACCCCATTTCTCTCTCTCCCTACCCGTTCCAAATTATTAGATTTGAAATTGCAAATTCCAAATGCGAAATTGCAAATTCCAAATTCGACATAATCACGTTACATTACAATCATCATGGCTGCTGCAGAGAAGATATTACGCCCACAGCAGCTAGTCAACAAGAGTTGTCGCATATGTTTACTTTTTGCGGTAATGAAACATTTATAATACACTAAAATCTGATTAAGAGTAACAACTCATTAAGTAATTATCAGAAAATCATTAGAATTTGTTTGGTTTTTATAAAGTTCTGCCCCATGCCAACGTTTAGTACACGAAACATTTAATATCATGGATTTAGCTGTTCAAGTTATCAAAATTCAATGACAATCAATATACGTGTTCGTCTCAAGACCTTAAACTTTATATATCAATCTGAAGTCAATCGGATGATAACTTTAGCCCCTAGAGCGCCACAAGGTTGTTCAAAGTAATCAAGGGCCATAATTTTGGCAGTAATAATCGGAAATCGTTATAAATCAATAGAGTTCTTTCTTTCATGACCTTAAACACTGTGTATAAATTTAAAGTCAATCGGATATTAACTTTAGCCTCTAGGGCGTCCACAAGATTTATTTTTTTTTAAGTGATCAAGGGCCATAACTATGGCAGCAATAACAGGAAATAGCTGAAAACCAACAGGATTCTTCGTCTCATGACCTTAAACACTGTGTATAAATTCAAAGTCAATCGGATATTAACTTTAGCCTCTAGAGCGTCCATAATATTTTTTAAGTGATCAAGGGCCATAACTCTGGCAGTAATTATCGGAAATCGCTGAAAATCAATAGGCTTCTTCGTCTCATGACCTTAACTTTAGGTTCTACAGCGTCCATAAGCAATTGTGGACGGCGGACGGACGGACGGACGGGGGCGACGACAATATACGACCACATTATACGATCGCATTTGGAATTTCGCATTTGTAATTTGTAATTTGGAATGAGTCTTCTGGGCTTTCGTAGGCCCAGGCATCAGATAGGTAAACTAATTACTTGTGTAAAATTACAATTTGTTTAAATTCTAATTTGTTTGGGGCTGCCAGTTTGCTATTTTATTGGTAAGACATGAATTTGGAATTTGGAATTTGGAATGAGCCTTCTGGGCTTTCGTGCGTTTCGTCCCGTCTTTTACTGTCTTCTGTACATATATATATGAATATCTAATAATTCTTTAATCCTTTTTTCACTAATCACATTGTAAAATACTGCACCATGTATACATAACATGTTATTGTCTGCGATATCACTTCGACGGAAGCGGACGTAAAATACAACTAACTCACACACATTTATAGAAAGACAGAAATGGTTTTTAAACCACCCAACAAAAACTAGATCAGGACTATCGTGGTAAATTCAACAGTTCACTTGTGCACAAGAATCTTTAGCAGTGGGAGGAAACCAGAGCACCAGGAATAAATTCACGGGATTAGCCAGGTGACCCTAATCCTTGTCACGTACAAGTATGAAGTCGAAGCCACAGTGCTTGACGCTTTGAAAGGTCATATTATAAAAAGGTCAGTTTATGGTAATTTGGTGAATTTTATACATGTTGTAGAATGTAGAATTCTTGTAGAATTTGTAGCCCACTACTGGGGGTTGGATGGCCGAATGGTTAGCATGAGCGCACTGTATCATGAGGTCTGTCCTTGGGTCAACTACATGTAGGCGTGGTTTCGATTCCCCGCGACAAGGAGTAGCGTTGCCTGTCCAACCTCGTGGGTTTTCTCCGGGTCCACTGGTTTCCTCCGACAGCTAAAGACCCCTACGCCCAAGCGAATTATTGAAATAAAATTGAACCATGTGTTAGTCCCGAAATGACTTAGTTTGTGTCGAGTGGACGTTAAACCCCATATCTCTCTCCCTCTCTCTCTATTTACTCCTGATTTTTTTATAGGTGAATTATATGATGCTAAGAAGTTTTCTTATGTACGAGAGGTTGGAAAGGCTTTCAAGGAAGACCGTCTGAGTCATGACATAAAGACTGAGATGGAAAAACTAAAGGAAGCCGACCTGGTTATTTTCCAGTTTCCGCTCTATTGGTTTAGCATGCCAGCTATACTTAAAGGATGGGTAGACAGGGTATTTGCTAATGGATTTGCTTATAATTATGCCAAAGCACAAATATGTGATAACGGTCTAATGTCAGTAAGTGAAGGCTCACCATCTTTGATGTTTAATTCCTTGCTATCCATATTATACATTTGCTTGGTTTATACATTGTAATAGTTATGCAAATGCCACTGTAACTATGACATTATATATTATACCATCTTCAATAGAAGGCTTGATCTCGCTTTAACTCCGAACATCTTACCAAGGCCTTCACGCAATACCCTGCATATTTCGTCACTAAATTCGATTGGGTACAAGCTCAGCTTGTGAGCCTATCAGATTCCCCGATCGTCGCGAATACCAAGTCTTTCGCTTTCAAGCTAAAATGTCTACCTGTGATAATCGAGTTGCAACGTTCAAAGTTCATTCAATGTCAAGCTTTCCGTGGAGGTCGCGATGTCACAACCTCTGATTGGACGCTACTGCTCACGTGCCTGTAGATGAAATAGCTATCAGTTGGGGAATTGTGAAGTAAGCAAGCAACGTCTAGATAATGTAAAACTCGCAGTCGTTGCTTCATGTATACATACTTTCATCGAATTACAAACATTAACGGTATCAATCGAGAGACTAAAAACATACGTGTAGGCCTACATAACCTACATGCCCATTCTAGATCCCCAGTCGTTGTCCATGGCCATCCGAGAGACCTTTTAAATAAAACTACATAACCAAGTCAGATAACAAATTGCTGTATGGTATCGTCCGCCTTTCCATCATATTGGTTTTACCTCTGGTCCTCCGGTTTCCTCGGTAACTAGCAACGCCTACGCGCAAGCGATTTATTGAAATAAAATTATACGATATGTTAGTACCAAAATGACGTTAACCGTGCCTTTCTTACCTAAAACCAGAAACAAAACAGTACTACCAATACTAATGGGTAGTCCCATTTAAAGTCAATATAAAAATATGCATTAGTGTAATATAGAAAAACACGTTACAGTCGACTACTAAATCGACATTATGTTCGAGCAATATTCTGGCTAGTATCGTTAGGTTTTTTTTAAAACAATGGGTGGAAACGTCACAAATAGCGGACAAAGATAAAAACCAACATAACTGATCGAACCAAATCAATTTATTTTAGCTCTTTGGGGCTTCATAAAAACAAATATGTAGTCTCAAATCAAATGAAAGTATTTTGTTGAGGAGACGTTAAACCCATTCTATTCTATTTTAGGGAAAGAAAGCAATGTTATCATTGACAACTGGTGAAGCCGATACACAATATACTAATATAGGATTAAAGGGAGATATAAATATTATATTATGGTCAATGGAGGTAAGTTTCTCCTCTATCATTTCACTTTATCATTAGGAAGAAAGCAATACGTGTACGAGGTGTCCAGCATCTACCATTTAAAAAGATTCTCAAGAATATGATAGAGTAACTGTAGGTTTATGTGTTTACAGATTAATACAAAAAACTACAGTTGAATGTAAGAATTGGCAACACAGACGATGTGAATGTAACACTGTCCTATCAGGACATATTTGAAAATACCCATGTAAACGGTTCAAATGTGCAGTTTTCCGTTCTGTGCTATTGTCCTGCAAAATACACAAAGGAGTAGTTCTTTCCCCCGCCACTTTTACAACTAACACAAGAACACCTTTCGTTCCACTAACACATATTTTTAAATCAAAATTGTGCACTATTCAATTATAATTGTAGACGGCATATCGCTCGTAATTATTTACTTACTAACTGCATCAGAAGTTATTGTCGGTCACCGGAATGCTTTATTTGCCTATCTGTTATTAGAAGTAGACAGGGATTCAGTGATCGACTAGAACTTCCGGTCCAAGGACGATGTTTGTAAAAACCGCATATTGGTAAATAAAATGGCAGTGGTATACTTTGTACATATTTATAATATTTCAGCTATCTTTGTTTCGATCCCTTCAAGGGGAGGTCGTGATTTGTCCTTATGATCACAAGGCGTGACCACTAATTGATTCCAAATTCATTTAGGCCGCCAATTGAGATTAAGGTTATGTATACAATGATAATCTTTTGCATATTGCGTTTCAGTATGGTATTTTACGATTTGTTGGATTTGATGTTCTGAAAGCTCAGGTGTCTTACGGGCCAGCAATGGCGGCCGATACCAAACGGAAGTCCATGCTTGATAACTGGACAACAAGATTGAAGGACATAGCCAAAGAAAAGCCATTAGAGTTTATTCCGATTGAAAATTTTGATTATAACAAAGGTGGCCAGTTGTCTGAAGAATATGTCAATCGCCATAAAGAAGATAAAACATCACCTACCATTGGTCAGAACATGGGGAAACTACTACCCCAATAGGGTATATAATCTGCGGACCCTTAATAACAATTTGGGAAAGACCTTTATATATTAGTTTGTAGTAACAATTTGCAATTCGTAATGATAGTAATAATTCTTAAACTGTTAAATGTGGAAAGGTAATCTTACTTTTTTGGTATAATCCAAATTATATTACAATCCAAGAACTGAAAAATATAATCACGTGGAATAAAGTTGGTGGAAAAGCGAAGATCATGAAAGATACCCAATCTGAACCCATGACAAGATAAAAACATTGTCAGTGCTTACAAAATCGTATGGCGAATATATCAATATTTTTGGGCATCCTTTCAAGATCAAAATTAATGTACAAGAATATAAAATGCATAAACCATTACTATTTTGCAGGTTCATTGAGAGTGCCACAAGAAAGTCGCCTGGCACCCCGCCCATTTGTCTTTTTGTATTTTTTATTGCTTTGTTTGTTTGTTGGGGGGTTGGATGGCTGAATGGTTAGCGTGCGCGCGCTGTATCATAAAGTCTGTCATTGAGTCAACTGGCGTGGTTTCGAAACAATATGTTAGTCCCGAAATGACCTAGTTTGTGTCGAGGAGTGGACGTTAAACCCCATTTCTTTCTCTTTGCTTTGTTTGTTGTTGTTTGCTTGGGCTTTTTACGGGGGTGGGGGGGGGGGGGTATAATGTAATTATTTAGAATCAGTTGATTGTTCTTCGAAAATCAAGCATTTTACGTTACTTAATATGTTCTGTATATGATGTATATTTTGAAATAAAATGTAATCTTTTCTGTCAGGTTGTCAACTTGGTTTGATCATTGGTATATAGAGTTAAAATGGTGAGACGGGAATTTAGGAAGAAAGTTTGGACACTTAACTTATAAATCAATGTTTTATAACGCTATTAGGCGCACAAATATTATTTAGATAATGTTTATTTTCAAATCTGTGTGGTATAACTGGTGCTTGAAAAAATTTTACACTTTGGTACGCACGCATTAGAACCCATGACATTTGGAATTTAATTAATGTCAGCTGTCTAGTCTTTCGGATGGGTTGAAAAAAAACGAAGTTCCGTGTACACACTGACAAAAGACGCGCTTGTTGATCCTTGTCGGTGATAGTAGTACCGAATTAATGTGGCTGACTTATGTTTGATTGACATAGAATTGAACCATACATAGGCCTAATATGTTTATCCCGGAATTACCTGGTTTGTGTTGAGTGGACGTTAAACCCTCACATCACTTTCTTTCTTTCTCTCTCTCTGACTTAACCTTCTTGTATAGCTGTCCACTACCCAAGAGAATGCCCCCCCGTAAAGCAATGTTTCTCCTTGACCACTCTTTTTGTTCTGGCTAAAAAGAGGCAAGAAGAATGCAGTTTGCATAGTGGATCGCCAAACGACATTTTATCATTCATTGTTTTTGTGTTACCTCCTTTAAGTTTCAAACACGAGTCATCTCGAAACAAACGCAAATTAGGTAAGTTTCAGAATGGCTATATGGATTTCAATTAAATTTGGTAGAGAATTCCTATATGATAAAAGTTGTTGAAATGAAAGAGAGGGGCAGAACTTGAACGATACAAAGGAGAATATTTAACCATTTTTGACCAAATGATATGAATGTTGCTGAAGTTGGATTGTTTAAGTAAATAAACTTGCTCGATACCATTGCTGTGGGGTTGGGGCGGCTTGTGGAAATTTATGTCAAGTGCTTCTCATGAAATGCTTTGTTGATCTCAAAGAGAAGTGAAAGAGGCACATTAAATGGGGGAATTTAAACATTTTTATCTTCTCTTCCTAACTGAGACCACGGCGGTGAAGTGAGTGTTCGATCACGTTGTTGGCCGAGAAGGTTCCAGTCTGATTTCTCTTTGGCATTGTTGCGGGAAGAGAAACTGACAATAAGACGAAAACCCTTGTGATCGATGTGGTGCACGTACAAGAACCAATGACAATAGGAATTTGGCGAAGAGTAGACCGAAACGCCGCTGTCTGGGCAAATATTTTCCCCTACATGCCCGTCTACACTATCCCGGTGGGTGCAGAATTCCTTAAACCTTTTTCATTTGATTTCAGTTCTTTTCCCAACCCACTCATTGATAACCGAAACTGGTAGATATGTTGCTTAGGGATGCTTATCAAGATTTGTTTAAACAAAATTACATGCCACGTTTGGGATTGGACGGAGCAAGTTAATCTCACAAGTAGAGTGACCCCAAACAAATTGCAAAAGAAACTAACGCAGCTGTCAAATTTGGTAATAAAATGGCATTGTCCCCGAACATAACCAATCACTATCTCGTAGTCGTAAGATATGACTTTTACTACGTCATGTATATGGTTTTCGATCTCTCTGGATTTAAAAATGAGTTTTGAAAATCCAACCTGGGAGAAATTCAAATTGGCGAATTGTATATTAATCGTTATTTTTCCTTTTGGATACAACTTGTCACATGACTTTCACGTGGTTTTAGATGTCATTTGGTTGAATTCTGATCTCAAAAAATGAATTTCGAAATCCATATGGCTTTTAATATGTCTTAAATAAAGAATTTGAGTTTACTGGGTTCAATTCTGGCGATTTTTTCCATGTGGATATTGCTTTAAAATATAGGCCCCTATCTAATAAGGTTTTCAGGGTTACTGAATTCTATTTTTGGTTCAAGATTAAATTTAAGAATTCCAAACATATGTTTATAGGCCGGCGGCTCAGTTGGAGGTGTCCATCAAATGGGCACAAAACCAGACCCAACTTTTCTATAGTAAAATTTTGCGTAGAATACGATGCCGAGTGGTAATCAGTCCGCCGTCAAATAAGGTCATTTGCACTGAAAGTGAATGCATAGCCATTCTTGTATCATGAAAATATGCTGAAAATGGTAATTACGGCTGAGTTAAAATTTTTGTGAAAATCGGACCAAAACTGTCCGACAAAATGTCCGCTACCCTTACAAGCATGTAATACCCAATAGAGGTCACCATTTTTATCGTATTTTCAAAACCGTTCAAATATATCACCGTTACATCATAAATTTGGTCGAGTACAAATTTCCTGAAAATCGGACTGAAACTTTCAGTCAAATGGCCAGTCCCCTTTGCGCAAATAGTATAAAAGCATGTATAGCCATAGCTCTTGCTTTTTACGCAAAATGTGAAATTGTTGTCCCATTCTGATGAAAGTTAACAAATATGGTAAGGATTAAAAGATCTTGAATGAGAGGATGAATCCATTTGATTTTACCTCTTCCCATACATTTCTTGGAAAATGTGGGCGTATTTTGCATGGCAACCGCTTGTTTTAACTGGTCATTGCTGATAGCAGTGAATTATTTGATAGATAAGGGACACAGCCTCAGAGAAAGAGTGTGAGAAAAACTCTATCCCGTCGTTTTTTAATTACCTAATCTGTCAGAGTTGGTGTTGAAATAAAGATCGACTGTTCAGTTAACTAATCGTGACCGTCGCAACTGGGGTTCTCTTTATCCAGGGATCAGTATAGAGCTCTGAAAGTCCACGTTCTAGAAGACTCACTTCTATGTTAAAATCGGACCTCGTTGTATCTAACGGCATAATTACTTGCGTGCAATAACCCGGAGAAAAAAGTACTTGCCCCCACCCCCACCTAGCCCTCCGGGCCTGTAAATGCATGTTACAAGTCATATCCAACAGGAATAAACGACGATTAACTGAAAATCCATCTTTTTGGATTCCATTTGAGCTGTCATTTTGAATTGCTACCAAGATGGATTTTTGAAATTATTTTTCAATTCAGAGACATCGATAACCATATAAAAGACAGTAAAAGTCATATCTTACGATATTCTATCTGGTTATATGTATATGAGGGAAAAGCCTGTGTGAAAAATACATTTTTTGTTGTTTTTCTTTTCTTCAAATTCATTTTTTCAGCACATTTCAATTGGCGAAAATAGTTATTCTCCTACCTCTAAAACACAGTGGTTACGGGATATCCATCTCCGGAAGTTCCTAAAGACAGTCAGTTATGGTTGAGTTACGCCTGGAAGTGTAACGGGAGGGCACTGCGAAAAGAGTTGCGTCCCTTTACAAAAGCTCTCTGTTCAATAAGATTTGTTTTGTTATAGAAATTCCTTCACATTGGAGAACCACTCGGCAAACTTCGGCAGATTCCGGTATCTTACATCTAGCATCGGCTGTGTGACAGCATAGAACTAGAATACTAAGTATTCTAGTTCTATGGTGACAGTAAGTGATATGTACCTACGCCTATACATTTGCGATGCGGCACCGGTTTACTTATAAGGGAAACTTGTCCGCGTTTAGAAAGAAGTTCTCAAAATTGCGTCGTTCGAAGAGTGTGTAGAATTTTCAGTGCAAATTTGTCCTTGTCTAAAGAAAATCGGATAAACTTGAAAGAAAAACAGCTTCAAACTTTGAAAATTTTGTAAGATAAAACATTCTTCAAATACGTCGTCATCAATGACGTCATTGGTCGTCATGGACAACGCCATTGTAATCCGGGAACTTGAAAGTAGTTCTAATGACGGACTTTGTTATACAGCCGAGATTAGATGTAGGGTACTGGAATCTGTTGAGTTTTGCCGAGTGATTGGAGAACGATAGATCGGAGACGGTCCTGCGCATAGATCTTCTTAACTGATTGAATTTCGCGGGAAAAATCAAACCAAACCCTCGGTCAAGCCAAAAAACTCCGAATGCACGGGCCGCTTACACCAAGGTAAAGAAATGCGTAGGGCCGTCTCCGATCTTCAACATTCGCTTCTGGAATGTAAACTAGGCTAACCATAAACAGAAGAAAATTTAATCGAAATTACGAAATACATAAAAAATGAAGGTAAATAACTTTAGCACAACAACAAGATGTAATGAAATAATGATATATTGCAAATGTTACGTTTATTTTTAAATAAATATTCTTAGAAATAATGTAATAAACAGGTATCAACATTGGACATTGGTTGCGAGGGAAGCTTTGCAGAATCCTTCAGTTTTGAGTTCATTAATAATAATCATAAATCCGAAATCATGGAAATGACAGACTTATAATCCATAAACAGCCTTTTATGGAGATAAACAGACTAGGTTTTCATTATCAGTTTTAGTCGTTTAAGAGTAGGTAAATGTAACATTTACTGATTTAGTTATTCAAAACACTCGAAGTATATGGAAGGGGATCGACGCCACATTAAAAGACATGTAAACACGAGTAGAAGTTACTATGTCAGCATATGAAAGTGTTGTTTTGATGATTTTTCCATGTTCGATTTTACAAAATAGAAAAGTATTGTCCACTAACGAAAAAACACATGTACAAATGCGCCTTGTAACGTTTGTATTTTCTACATCTGATCTTTCAACTGTTGTAATTTCTACTAGTGCATAATCGACATATGTAACTTCGACATCGGTATTTTCTTCCAATGTAATTTCTCCACATGTCACATCCATCAAGGCGTGGTTCCGATTTTAGCCGAAGCTTGCGTCATAAAAACAAAACCTCCCTTCAAGTAGTCTCGGTCATCCAGACAATATGGCTCCTCCGCGATAGCTCCCTCGACTAATGGGCTTGGATGACCGAGGCTACCCTTCGAGGAAAGTCATTCCTACTACCAGAAAGTTGCATGGGGAGCATCAATAATTTTTAACGGAAGTTAACACTAACATATTGTTTTATGCTAAATTTTAATACAACTTTTAATAGTTTGCTTTCTTTGTTATTTTTATGTGTCTTGAATTCACCATTTCTGGTGTTCATGTCGTTAACATAATTTTGAATGCATAGTTATAGTTTCGAATAAAGAACCGCCCCTGTAGGCCCTGTCGTCTGCTAATGAAGACTGGCATATACCATGCAGGGTGCAATGAGGGAAATTTTGTCAGGACAGGAATTTGATACCCTTTTTTTTAGACCAATGTAATACATGTTATGTTCAAAACAACCCCCATCTAATAGAAACTCGAAAATATTGTTTGTTTACTATAATCTTATAATAAAGCTAAACTACACTCAATCACATAAGAGCTTATCTACCTTGCATTGGCCTTGATTCATTATAATATAATATGCAGGCCCGTAGCCAGACTGTAATCAACGGCGCAATTTCAGGGGGGCATCAGGCCATGATCAAGGTAACCTTCACCCCTACCCCTTTCTAAATCTATGCATATTTGATGAATAATGGACATCCAGATCAGATGATCATTCATGATATTTAGTTAGAGCTATTTATTTATCATTCTTATTTATTATATGGGGAGCAGCAGTGGCTCAGTGACTACGGAGCTTGCTTACTAACCAGGTTCAGGTTGTTGATTCGATTCCCGGTCATAAAAACTCATGACGGATTCCACTTCCTTGTCAGTCACAGTGGTGCAGACCCGAGCTGAGGGGCTGGCAAAGAATAGCACCTAGTCGTTTGGATGGGACGAAAAACCGAGGTCCAGTGTGCTGCATCAGGACAGGGCGCATGCTAAAAATCCCAGACAGTTGGAAATTCTTAGAGATACTGATAGTACTAGTAGTAGTAGGCCTAGTGATTCATTTCATAGACATAGTCTAGCTAGGGCTAGGCGAGTTATTGATGGATGTCATGACAAAATTTCCCTCATTGCACCCTGCATGGTATATGCCAGTCTTCATTAGCCAATACAAAAAATACATCAAAATAGGACGTTAAACCCCATTTCATTGACCATGTGGTATCTACGGCGTCTACGCGTGAAACTATAACGACTCAACGACTGAACGAGTGTAGAACTGTAGTGTAGATAGTGCTACCATCTGACAACCAAAAAAAGAAGAAAGACCTGTGTCACTTATGTAGTATATTTGTACGCTTATGTGCTCTAAGAACAAGTTTTTTGTGGAAGATATTCAAACATAAATATACCTGATTATTATTGTCCATGGCTACGATTGAACGATGTCACCAATGTGGAGCAGACGACAGGGGCGGTTCTTTATTCGAAACTATAACTATGCATTCAAAATTATCTTTTAACAAACGACATGAACACCAGAAATGGTGAATTCAAGACACATAAAAATAACAAAGAAAGCAAACTATTAAAAGTTGTATTAAAATTTAGCATAAAACAATATGTTAGTGTTAACTTCCGTTAAAAATTATTGATGCTCGTCATGCAACTTTCTGGTAGTAGGAATGACTTTCCTTGAAGGGTAGCCTCGGTCATCCAAGCCCGTTAGTTGGGGAGCTATCGCGGAGGAGCCATATTGTCTGGATGACCGAGACTACTTGAAGGGAGGTTTTGTTTTTATGACGCAAGCTTCGGCTAAAATCGGAACCACGCCTTGATGGATGTGACATGTGGAGAAATTACATTGGAAGAAAATACCGATGTCGAAGTTACATATGTCGATTATGCACTAGTAGAAATTACAACAGTTGAAAGATCAGATGTAGAAAATACAAACGTTACAAGGCGCATTTGTACATGTGTTTTTTCGTTAGTGGACAATACTTTTCTATTTTGTAAAATCGAACATGGAAAAATCATCAAAACAACACTTTCATATGCTGACATAGTAACTTCTACATGTCTTTTAATGTGGCGTCGATCCCCTTCCATAGAAGTAGGCTATTGTTAAACTGAAAGTTACCAGGTTATGGTGGCCCACGGTCGCAATGAATAGCGTTTTTGGGGTATTTTTTGTATTTCATTTAAAATCATAAAAAATAAAAGTAAAAAAAAAGAAACATTTTTTTTTTCTTTTGTTTTCCAAAATAAATAAAATATCTTTTTAAAATTTAAGAAAAAAAAAACCTTTTTAAATTAAAAAGAAAAATAAAATCTTTTTAAATTAAAAAGAAAAAAAAATCTTTTTAAAATTTAAGAAAAAAAAAAATCTTTTTAAAATAAAAAAAAATCTATATAAAAAAATTAATAAAATATTTAAGATTAAAAAAATCTATAAAAAAAATAATATTTTAATAAAAAAAAAAAAATAAGTGAAATAGAGAAAATCAAAAAAAGAATTCTACACGTGGCCCATCGTCGTAATAGTGTCTTGATTATCCAGACTCAGTATAAAATCAGCCTACGGCAGCTATCATTCGACTCGAGTGACCAGAAATACCTCGTGGCCCATTGTTGCTATAGTGTCTCGATTATCCTATGTGGCATAACTCGAGCGACAAGAAACTAGTTTGTAGTTATCTCCCCTTCCGAAAGGAAAAGGGTAAACAGACATCAACACGTGAAACACAATTTTTCCACCCATGACGTCTATGGACTTGGATATATGTATTTATACATATGCAAGTCAATAGAAATGTATAATTAATAGACTATAGAAGCCTAGCGTCATTTAGACTAGTTTATCCAGTCTAACTAGAACTAGGCCTACATACATAATGACGTTTGAAGTCATTGACTTTAATGACACCATTCGGCCTACTAGTGCGCAAGGCCTGTTCTCCCCTCAAAAGGCTTATGTAATGTTTTTAAAACACTTGGTCTCCCTGAGGTCGAATTTCAAAAGTAGTTAACAACTTTGAAACTAATCCTCGAAGTATAGGCCTACTACTACTAAGTAGCCGGGGGGGGGGGGGGGGCGAATGGTTAGCACGTGCGCGCTGTATCATAAAGCCTGTCATATCATAAAGCCCGTCATTGAGTCAACTGGCGTGATTTCGAATCCCCGGTTGTACGTGACAAGGAGTAGGGTGACCTGTCAAACATCGTGGGTCTGTCGTTCAGATTATCCTGTGTGGGATCTATGAAGAACGTATGGTATAGACTCGAGCGACAAGAAACCAGTCTATAGTTACCTCACATCAAGGCACAAGTAATTTTAACTAAAATCTATTAAAATTAAATTTTAAGTTACAATAGATCTTCGTGAAACGCATAAATTTAAAATTTCACTTTGATTTTAAAATCTATGTTAGTGATTTTAGCTTCAGTTTTTGTGAAACCCCTGCTCTCCCTGAGGTCATCGCTAGTCCCCCGCTACGACCACAGGAAGGGGTAAGAGGTGCGAAAGTGCGATGGCGGACAACATCAATTTAAAAGACATAATAGAGCATGATAGCCTACGTGGACTTCGTCTGGGGCCTGTTTTACTAAGATAAAATTCAAATTTTAGTATTTGATTGGATAATAGATAATATTAGATTTATTTTAGTGCTTAGTTAATCAAAATTGAAGTATCTACAATTATGTTGACGTGAGATAACTACAGACTCGTTTCTTGTCGTTCGAGTTTATACGTTCTTCATAGATCCCACACATAATAATCGAGATACTACTGCAACAATGGGCCACAAAATGTTTCTGGTCGCTCTAGTCTAATGATAGCTGTATACTGGGTCTGGATACTCAAGATACTATTGCGACGATGGGCCACGTCGGGAATTATTTTTTATCTTTTCTTTTTCAATTTTTTTTTTTTTTTTCATTTAATTTTTTTTTTAATATTATTTCTTTTTTTTAAAATATATTTTATTATTTTTTTTTATATATATAGATTTTTTTTTTTTTCATTTTAAAAAGATTTTTTTTTTTTTTAATTTTAAAAAGATTTTTTTTTTTTTTTCATTTTTTAAAAAGATTTTTTTTTTTAATTTTTAAAGATTTTTTTTTTTTATTTTGTAAAAAAAAAAAAAAAATGTGTCTTTTTTTTTTTTTTGTACTAATATTTTTATTATTTTAAATGAAATACCAAAAATAACCCAAAAAACGCTATTGCGACCATGGGCCACCATACAGGTGCATATATAATATGGTGTATTAGTACTACTTCCGTCTTACTCCACCCACGGTAGTGGATCATTCTTAATTTCTTAGCAGTTTCTTTGAGCAAGTTTTTTA